GTGTTGGGAATTTTTCGTGAGCCAGGCTCAGTTTGCGATAGCCGAATAAGGGTTTGATGATGTGATAATATAGAACCCTCCAGTGACCGGTATTCCGTGTTGCGGGGAAGAATGATTAGGTTTGAGCCCATCTTTTTTTATGCCATTTAAGGAGAACTTTATAACCGCGGTTGTATCCCGTTATGTCGAATGAGTCGCCCTACCTGAACTGACTCCTCAATCTAGTGGTCCATATTACAGAATCTTTTGAGTACCAGGAAAGTTAAACTCAGTACCGTGTGGACGATTTCACCCGGGGAAACTCGAGTTGTGGCCAAACGTCAGGTTATTCATTTACCACCTGCAGCTTGACTTTCATCTATTATAGTGCCATTCAGCTAATGACTTATCATTATGTAATTTTGTGCTTATTTGATGCTACTTAGTACATTATGCCACATCCTAAGAGTTCAACGTCATTGAGACAACCCAAGATTCCGCTCGCCATTCGATAACCCCGTGGTAATTAGCCACGCAGACATAATCGGCCAGCTGCAAACGAATGATAGTTTGGTGGTGGAAGCCGCTCCATTCCCATTCCTATTTTCGCAATATGACATCTTAGGGATGATTGGCCCGAGCCGTCATCAAGAGTATGAATGCGAAGCTCATGAGAGCGGTGAAATTCCAAATGAAATTCTTTCATACATAGTCTGTCAATAGACAAGATAGGGGAACAAAAAGAACGAAACCGTAACAAGTAATAGGATCTTCGTTTAGGATTTACATCCTAGGTACTTTATACCTCTGTAATTCGCTGCAGCACCTGATTCTTCTTCTCCTTTGCCTTCAATCGGCTGTCGGTCAACCGCGTGATACCCCTATGGAGCGACTGAATATTCGCCTCGAGCGAAGCCGCCTTCTTTTGGCTCTTGTCGTCCGACGCGGTTGATCCAATGGCCTTTCCAACTCCACTTTGAAGGATTTCCATACGATTAGAGAGCGCCTCCAGGTGAACGCAGATGTGGTCAACTTGGTCGACTGCAGCTTTGTGTACCCGCGGTAGGCTGGCGAGAAGTGCAAAATTCGATTCGAATATGGCGAGTTTAGTCCTGTTACCACCTAGCACACTCCAGAGTTCGGCCAACTGGTATGAGGCTCAGTGATACTTCTACAAAGTGAAGAGATGGATAAGACTCACCAAATCCGCTTTCCCAACATTTTTATACCTTTCCTCTTGATAAACGACCCTATTGACCATCTGTAGCTGGGTGGAGATGCTGCCGAGTCTTTTTGAAACCAACCTCGACAGCTCTATCTATGAATCCGAAATCAAATGTCGAAAAGAGAATCATCAGTTCTAACATACAGATTTATGTAATGTCTCGTCGACTCACTAAGAAAGCTACATCCCGTTCCAGTGTAGTTGCAACATATACAAAGGTCTCAAGGACCCTCGTCTCAGTAGATGATGGGGTGTAAGACGGTAGAAAAACATTGAATGTGAGTGAGCCCAATTCATTTTCACCCTTCGCCGCTTGGAGGACCTCAGCAGCAAGCTCATCCATGATGATTGTACTATGGTTGGTGATAGGAAGGTGACCGTGTCAGCAACAAACAAAGGTAAATTGGGGGGGGGCACTCACTGGTCGACTGTGCCTTCGATTGCCGCCACCATTTTGCTCAAGAGTGGGACAATCTGCTTCATAGAAGACGCAAGTTGGTCCAATGATGAGTCTAGTTGTTCCTTGAACTGAAGCTGAGATACGCTGACCTAAGCAGAGAGGTATAAAGAAGAACAGTGAGTCAAGAATATAGAATTGGAGCAGCAAATTAGCCTACGGCTGTACTCAAATCTCGCACGGCTGCTTCAGAATTTTGTATTTTCGTGCCAAGATGGGCCCCTAGACTAATACGGTCCAATATTATGTCAAACTGAATTTGTAAATCCACGAGCTCGTCGAATTTTGGTTCATCATATCCACCTTTACCTTCGCCTACACCGATTAGCCATTTGCACGTGTCCGTTCTGAACAAAATTGGCAGGTAACAGACAGGCGTTACTGTACGAATGAAGAGGGACCCAATAAGCGGCGCAGTGAAGGAGAGTATGACGACCAAGACGATGACGAATTTTCTGTAGCTGAACGATATGGATAGTAAGGACCTTCAGCTTGAAACTCGGATAAGGTCTAAGACGTACGTCAAGTTCTTTGCTGATCGAAAAACCAGCTTGATGGTTTTTAGGCTCCACAGAAGCATATGCTTGATTGTGGAGACAAGAAAGTTCCCGTTTGCAAAGGCTCTGTCTCGCATGGATGCTTGGCCCAAGTCCGCATGGTGATCTGTCACAGAAACATCACTCCCAATACTTGAGGACGAGTCTTCAGGATTCCTTGGGTGACGGTTTCGAAGATTAATGGTCATTTCTGTCTTGAAGAGGGGGAAGACTAGATGGTGTGGGGAAGGATTTCGAGTTATAAGTGGCCAACCACACAAAGAACAAAGATTTCTTATATGGTCACGGTTGATTCATGCATGTTGTATTGTCGTTAGTGATGTTGACGGCAAGTCAGACTCATTGTATTCACCCCTCCGCTTTGAGGATGTATGTTATCGGGACCTTTATTTTCTGATAGACCGTACTGGCACGGCTTCGAATCGAAACTAGGCGTCTATATCCCGCTATGTTTCTTTGTGCGCCTGGGACATGGACATGGATATGACGCTGGTTTGCACAGAGTGCGTTTGAATGTTCTGTGCCATCCGAATGGCTCTATTTTTCGAGGTATTGGTGTTTTTCGCGAGTCCCGCCCTTGATCAGTTTGCGATAGCCAACCAAGGGATGTGATAATATGGAACGCCCCAGGAACGGGTGTACCGTGTTGCGGGGAAGAGTGATTAGGTTTTGAGCCCATCTTTTTTTGCTGCTATTTGAGAACGACCTTATAGCCGCGGTTATACTCGATTGGGTCGAATGAGTCGTGTCACTTCCACCAACTTAACTCAGTCGATCGAGTGGTCCGTGCAAGTTCTGGTGGTTTCCCAAGGACGCTAAACTCAGCACTCCTCTGGCTATATGTGTAATCTTCTCTAGGGTAACGCGAGTTGCGGCCAAACTATTTCGCCCTGAACACAGAGGTCGTTTCCTGAATACATCGCAGATCGATCTAGTTACCACCTGCATACTTACATCGTTTACTGTAGTGTTCCTCAGCTAATGAGTTAATTGGTGCCATGTGCGTACTTATTTCATAGTGATCAATACATGCTGCACTACCAAGAGTTCAAAGTTATTGAGATAATCCAGGATCCCGCTGGCCATTCAGCTCCCGGTCGATAATCCGGTGGTTCGTCTGCCGCCCCTT